TCTCCATCGTTGCCCACATGTGCGTTGAAGTCACCCAGCAGAATGATGGAGTCCCCTACTGGAGCCCTATATAGGACTCCCTTCAGGGTCTCCAAGAAGGCTGAATACTCCGAACTGCTGTTTGGTGCATAAGCACAAACAACAGTCAGAGTTTTCCCCCCCACCACCCTTAGGCGTAGGGAGGCAAACCTCTCATCCACCGGGGTAAACTCCAACACCACCGTGCTCAGACGTGGGCTCGTGAGTATCCCCACACCAGCCCGCCGCCTCTCACCCTGGGCAACTCCAGAGAAGAACAGAGTCCAACCCCTATCCAGGAGTAAGGTTCCAGAGCCACGGTTGTGCGTAGAGGTAAGTCCCACCAGATCCAACTGGTATCTCACGCACAAGTTCTGGCTCCTTCCCCCCCAGTGAGGTGACGTTCCACGTCCCCAAAGCAAGCTTCTGCCGCCCGGGTCTGATCCGTCGAGACCCCCCACCTTCACTGCCACCCATATGACAGCGCACCCGACCCCTGCGGTTGCTCCTGTGAGTGGTGGGCCCACAGGATGGAGAGGAGAGAGATGCCACGTATCTCGTTCGGGCTGTGCCCGGCCGGGCTCCGTGGCAAACCCGGCCACCAGACGCTCGCTTTCGAGCCCGCCGTCTGGGCCTGGCTCCAGACGAGGGCCCTGGGCTTCCTCCAGGCAGGGTCTCGCTCCTTTTCCTCGATCTTTCATGGGGTCTTGGTGAACCATTCTTAGTCTGGCCCCTCGCCAGAGACCACTTTGCCTTGGGAAACCCTACCAGGAGCATGAAGCTCCAGACAACCCAGCCCTCAGGTTCATAGGGGCACACAAACCTCTCCACCACGTTAAGGTGATGACGTGAATAGGCTTTGCTTTACAAGTGCTACGTTCCGCACAGGATTTGGCCTGGTACCATTTCGGAGCATGTTTGGTGTCTGTGATGCAGTTGGTTAGCACGTTAGACTCTAAATCTAAAGTTTGGTGGTTCGAGCCCCCCCCCCCCGGGACTGTTAATCTAAAGGTTGCTGGTTTTAGCCCAGCCAGGGGTGGAAGTTTTCCATCGGTGCTTTTTTATTGATGTGAAACCACTCTGATTTACAAGTGCTGATTGATCCCCAGATTTTGGCCTGGTACCATTTCTATGTATGTGAGTCTCTGTGGCGCAATTGGTTAGCGCGTTAGACTGTTAATCTAAAGGTTGGTGGTTCAAGCCCACCCAGGGACGAGTGTTTTCTCTTTGCGCTGCTGATTGGCATGACACGACTTTGCTACACAAATTCCCCCAGATTCTGGTTTGATACCTTATCTGCAGTCTGTTACATTTGGACCTTCCGCACTTCCCTTTTTTCAGAACTAAGTAGCATGCTTTTGCACCGGCAAATTGGAAAGGTTGTAGTGCCAAATACATTTCACCACCCTTAGAGAAGAATGAAATCAAGCAGTTCCAGCAGATTGCTGTGCTATGTCGTCGGTCTCTGTTTGGAAAAATTGGTTAGCGGGTTAGACTGTTAATCTAAAGGCTGCTGGTTTCAGCCCACCTAGGGTCGCCTGTTTTTAATAAGTGCAAATCTCATCTCATCATCTCATCTCATCTTCAACCGCTTATCCGGGGTCGGGTCGCGGGGGTAGCAGCTCTAGCAGGGGACCCCAAACTTCCCTTTCCCGGGCAACATTAGCCAGCTCTGACTGGGGAATCCCGAGGCGTTCCCAGGCCAGTGTGGAGATATAATCTCTCCACCTAGTCCTGGGTCTTCCCCGAGGTCTCCTCCCAGCTGGACGTGCCTGGAACACCTCTCTAGGGAGGCGCCCAGGTGGCATTCGTACAAGATGCCCGAACCACCTCAACTGGCTCCTTTCTATGCAAAGGAGCAGCGGCTCTACTCCGAGTTCCTCTCGGATGACTGAGCTTCTCACCCTATCCCTAAGGGAGAGGCCAGCCACCTTTCTGAGAAAACCCATTTCGGCCGCTTGTACCCGCGATCTAGTTCTTTCGGTCATGACCCAGCTTTCATGACCATAGGTGAGGGTAGGAACAAAGATTGACCGGTAGATCGAGAGCTTTGCCTTTCGGCTCAGCTCTCTTTTCGTCACAACGGTGCGGTGAAGCGAATGCAACACCGCCCCCGCTGCTCCGATCCTCCGACCAATCTCCCGCTCCATTGTTCCCTCACTCGCGAACAAGACCCCGAGGTACTTGAACTCCTTCACTTGGAGTAAGGACTCATTCCCTACCCGGAGTAGGCACTCCACCGGTTTCCTGCTGAGAGTCATGGCCTCAGATTTAGAGGTGCTAACCCTCATCCCAGCCGCTTCACACTCGGCTGCGAACCGATCCAGTGAGTGCTGAAGGTCACCGACCGATGAGGCCATCAGGACCACATCATCCGCAAAAAGCAGTGATGTGACCATCAGCCCACCGAACGGGAACCCCTCCCCCCATGACTACGCCTCGATATCCTGTCCATGAATATTACAAACAGGATTGGTGACAAAGCGCAGCCCTGGCGGAGGCCAACCCCACCTGGAACGAATCCGACTTACTGCCGAGGACACGGACACAGCTCATGCTTTGAGCGTACAGAGATTGGATGGCCCTGAGAAGAGACCCCCTCACCCCATACTCCGCAGCACCTCCCACAAAAGATCCCGGGGTACCCGGTCATACGCCTTCTCCAGATCCACAAAACACATGTAGACTGGATGGGCATACTCCCAGGCCCCCTCCAGGATCCTTGCGAGAGTAAAGAGCTGGTCCGTGGTTCCCCGGCCAGGACGAAAACCGCATTGTTCCTCTTCAATCTGAGGTTCGACTATTGGCCGAACCCTCCTTTCCAGCACTTTGGAGTACACTTTACCAGGGAGGCTGAGGAGTGTGATACCTATGTAATTGGCACACACTCTCTGGTCCCCCTTTTAAAGAGGGGAACCACCACCCCGGTCTGCCACTCCTCTGGCACTGTCCCAGACTTCCATGCAATGTTGAAGAGGCGTGTCAACCAAGACAGCCCTTCCCCACCCAAAGCTTTTAGCATTTCTGGACGAATCTCATCAGTCCCTGGGGCTTTGCCACTGTGGAGTTGTTTGACTACCTCAGCGACTTCCCCCAGGGAAACTGACGATGACCCTCCATCAGCCTCCAGCTCTGCCTCTGTACTAGAGGGCGTGTAGGTCGGATTCAGGAGCTCCTCAAAATGCTCTTTCCAGCGCCCGATCACATCATCAGTTGAGGTCAACAGTGTCCCATCCTTACTGTACACAGCTTGGATGGTTCCCCGTTTTCCCCTTCTGAGGTGCCGAACGGTTTTCCAGAAGCATTTTGGTGCCGACCGAAAGTCCTTCTCCATAGCTTCTCCAAACTTCTCCCACACCCGCTGCTTTGCCTCTGACACGGCAGCGGCTGCAGCCCTTCGGGCCTGTCGGTACCCTGCAACTGCCTCCGGAGTCCCCAGGGCTAGCATATCCCTGAAGGCCTCCTTCTTCAGTCGGACAGCTTCCCTGACCACCGTGGTCCACCACGGTGTTCTAGGGTTACCACCCCTTGAGGCACCTAGGACCTTGAGACCACAGCTCACTGCCGCAGCTTCAGCAATAGAAGCTTTGAACATTGCCCACTCAGGTTCAATGCCCCCAACCTCCACAGGGATGCCTGAAAAGCTCCGCCGGAGGTGTGAGTTAAAGATCTTTCGGACAGGGGCCTCCTCCAGAGGCCCCTTCCCAGTTCACCCGCACTACCCGTTTGGGCTTACCTGGTCTGTCCAAAGTCTTTCCCCACCCTCTGATCCAACTCACTACCAGATGGTGATCAGTTGACAGCTCTGCCCCTCTCTTCACCCGAGTGTCCAAAACATGCGGCCTTAGATCAGCCGATACGATTACAAAATCGATCATTGACCTTCGGCCTAGGGTGCTCTGGTACCATGTACACTTATGCGCCTCCTTATGTTCGAACATGGTGTTTGTTATAGACAATCCATGACTAGCACAGAAGTCCAATAACAAACGACCGCTCGGGTTTAGATCAGGAGGCCGTTCCTCCCAATCACGCCTCTCCAGGTGTCTCCATCGTTGCCCACATGTGCGTTGAAGTCACCCAGCAGAATGATGGAGTCCCCTACTGGAGCCCTATATAGGACTCCTTCAGGGTCTCCAAGAAGGCTGAATACTCCGAACTGCTGTTTGGTGCATAAGCACAAACAACAGTCAGTTTTCCCCCCACCACCCTTAGGCGTAGGGAGGCAAACCTCTCATCCACCGGGGTAAACTCCAACACCACCGTGCTCAGACGTGGGCTCGTGAGTATCCCCACACCAGCCCGCCGCCTCTCACCCTGGGCAACTCCAGAGAAGAACAGAGTCCAACCCCTATCCAGGAGTAAGGTTCCAGAGCCACGGTTGTGCGTAGAGGTAAGTCCCACCAGATCCAACTGGTATCTCACGCACAAGTTCTGGCTCCTTCCCCCCCAGTGAGGTGACGTTCCACGTCCCCAAAGCAAGCTTCTGCCGCCCGGGTCTGATCCGTCGAGACCCCCCACCTTCACTGCCACCCATATGACAGCGCACCCGACCCCTGCGGTTGCTCCTGTGAGTGGTGGGCCCACAGGATGGAGAGGAGAGAGATGCCACGTATCTCGTTCGGGCTGTGCCCGGCCGGGCTCCGTGGCAAACCCGGCCACCAGACGCTCGCTTTCGAGCCCGCCGTCTGGGCCTGGCTCCAGACGAGGGCCCTGGGCTTCCTCCAGGCAGGGTCTCGCTCCTTTTTCCTCGATCTTTCATGGGGTCTTGGTGAACCATTCTTAGTCTGGCCCCTCGCCAGAGACCACTTTGCCTTGGGAAACCCTACCAGGAGCATGAAGCTCCAGACAACCCAGCCCTCAGGTTCATAGGGGCACACAAACCTCTCCACCACGTTAAGGTGATGACGTGAATAGGCTTTGCTTTACAAGTGCTACGTTCCGCACAGGATTTGGCCTGGTACCATTTCGGAGCATGTTTGGTGTCTGTGATGCAGTTGGTTAGCACGTTAGACTCTAAATCTAAAGTTTGGTGGTTCGAGCCCCCCCCCCCCGGGACTGTTAATCTAAAGGTTGCTGGTTTTAGCCCAGCCAGGGGTGGAAGTTTTCCATCGGTGCTTTTTTATTGATGTGAAACCACTCTGATTTACAAGTGCTGATTGATCCCCAGATTTTGGCCTGGTACCATTTCTATGTATGTGAGTCTCTGTGGCGCAATTGGTTAGCGAGTTAGACTGTAATCTAAAGGTTGGTGGTTCAAGCCCACCCAGGGACGAGTGTTTTCTCTTTGCGCTGCTGATTGGCATGACACGACTTTGCTACACAAATTCCCCCAGATTCTGGTTTGATACCTTATCTGCAGTCTGTTACATTTGGACCTTCCGCACTTCCCTTTTTTCAGAACTAAGTAGCATGCTTTTGCACCGGCAAATTGGAAAGGTTGTAGTGCCAAATACATTTCACCACCCTTAGAGAAGAATGAAATCAAGCAGTTCCAGCAGATTGCTGTGCTATGTCGTCGGTCTCTGTTTGGGAAAAATTGGTTAGCGGGTTAGACTGTTAATCTAAAGGCTGCTGGTTTCAGCCCACCTAGGGTCGCCTGTTTTTAATAAGTGCAAATCATTGACGTGAATAGGCTTTGCTTTACAAGTGCTACGTTCCGCACAGGATTTGGCCTGGTACCATTTCGGAGTGTGTTTGGTGTCTGTGATGCAGTTGGTTAGCAGCTGATTGATCCCCAGATTTTGGCCTGGTACCATTTCCATTAGACTCGAAATCTAAAGTTTGGTGGTTCGAGCCCCCTCCCCCGGGACTGTTAATCTAAAGGTTGCTGGTTTTAGCCCAGCCAGGGGTGGAAGTTTTCCATCGGTGCTTTTTTATTGATGTGGCACCTATATATGCTGTCCTCCATTTCTGACACTTCTTCCATTTCAACTTCAGATTCTACCTCATGAGATAATTATTCATCATAATAGGTCCCGTGCTCCACTTCTGACACTTCTTCCATATCAGCTTCAGATTCTTCCTCATCATCACGTTCATCCATTTCCTAAAATTAATAATCACCTTTCATTTCTGCAGCAGGAGATGTGGGGGCTTCTTCAGAGGAATAAATAGCATGTGGTCTGTATGTTGGATCTATCACCTCATCATTATGTTCCTCCTCTTCTGACCCTGAACCCTCTTCATCAGTTGATTCATCCTCATTATATGCAGCATTGTCCTCCTGGTCATTATTTTCTTTTATATCAAAAATTATCTTGCAAGCCTCCTGTGCAATATAAAACTTCTGCCTCCTCATTGTGCTGCCTGACTCACTCAGACTAACATGTGAAATGCCCCAAACACCCGTGAGAAAATACTTGTTTTGTTTTGTGTTGTTGTCATAACCATTGCTTGACCCCACACAACAAACATACATGATCAAAGATGTTTTGCCAAGCAGTATTATGTGACAATTTGCTCCTTTGGACTACTTTGTGCTGCGGGGTCTTTTTGACCCCAGAGGACAACAGAAGTTATTACATTTAGTGAAACACCCAGAATTCAATCAAATTACTACTAATTAGTTTGAATCATATACAGTCCCTGACAAAAGTCTTGTCGCTGATCTATTTTGTAGAAACACCTGCTATTAACCAGACTTTTAATTAATCAATTGGTGTTATAAATAGCTCATATGAAAAGCTATAACCTTCCCAAATTATGTTTAATGCACAGAAATGAATTAGTTTCACTAAAAAAAGATTTATCATTTAATCAAGACAGAAAGGTCAAATTTTGGCAAGACAAAAGTTTTGTCACCTATACAGAAATTGAACACATTTACTGCAAATACAAAAATATGTCAGCATCTTGATCTTCGCCTTGAGGAACTTTGATGTGGAGATGGAAGTATGTGATGGAGCACCATCCTGCTGCAGAATTTGGCCTCTTTTATGGTTGGGAATATAAGCGGTAGCTAAGATTTCTTGGTATTTTAGACTATTGATGTTGCCTTCCACCCTGCAGATCTCTTGCACACCCCCATACTGGATGTAACCCCAGACCATGATTTTTTCCGCCACCAAACTTCACTGTTTTCTGGGTGAATCTCGGATCCATGCGGGCTCCAGTAGGTCTCCTGCAATATTTGCGGCGACTGTGGCGTAATTCAACAGAAGATTAATCTGAAAAATCCACCTTCCACTTTTCCAGCGTCCATCCTTTTAGCAGGCTGTGGGCCTTGGCAAATGCCACACGGTTTTTCAATTGCCTTTTGTTTAGTGCTGGCTTCTGGGCACTGATTCGACCATGGAGGCCATTTCGAGACAGAATCCGACAAACTGTTCTGGTTGACACAGGGACTTCAGGTGCCCAGGTCTCGTGGAGCTCTGCTGCAGTGGAAAATGGGCTGGCCTTGGATTTTCGAGCCAACAAACGGTCCTCTCGAGCAGTTGTCTTGCGGGGTCTGCCTGACCTGGGCTTGTCAAAAACGTCTCCAGTGTGTTCAAATGTTTTTTTTATCCTCTGTACTTGACGCTGAGACACATTGAAGGTGTCTGCCACATCAGCAGTGGATCTGGTCTTCAGCCTCTTGATAATCAAAACTTTAGTCTCAGGGTGAATCTTAGGCATTTTTGCAGAGGTCTAGTTGCAGTTGATGTGAAGGTCTAGTGTACTGGGGTTGTTTTTATACACACCTGAGACCTAATTGATCCATTATTAGTCACAGGTGAAGCTCATATGACAAGGCGACAACACTTATGTCTTTGCAAAAATTGACTCAATGGGCTTTACCAAGCTGTGAACATTAGAATACTTTTTGACAGTTTTGTTTTGCACTGAAACATTATTACAAAAGCTGTTGGGATTAAAATGAGCCATTTCTTGTAAAAACATCTTGATTAGAAATATATTTCAGCGGCACTTCAGGTCAATTTGTACACAAGCCACAAGACTTTTGTCAGGGACTGTAGAGCATAGTAATAAACAACTACCCTTAAGTTGAGTTAATTCTAGAAGGGCCAAAGTATTGTGTTATTCTACCATATGTGTTATGTGTTATTCTACTATATGTCACGGACGTGGTGTTTACAAGCCTGGATGGAACATGTATGTATGAATGAATATCCAAGCCATTGCCTGTGAAATCGCTCTCTTATTTTTTATTATTATCAACTGAAGACCTGATTCTCAAAATGTAACCTCCCCGTCGGGGAATTGAACCCAATAAAAACAAACAACAGAAGTTATTACATTTAGTGAAACACCCAGAATTCAATCAAATTACTACTAATTAGTTTGAATCATATAGAGCATAGTAATAAACAACTACCCTTATTTTCAGACCAATTAATGAAAAAAAAACATATTTTTCGGCAAAATATTTTTTTGGGGGTCAAAATGACCCCAGGACAACACGAGGGTTAAACAAAAGATCTCTTGCATTGGCCGGGAATCGAACCCGGGCCTCCCGCGTGGCAGGCGAGAATTCTACCACTGAACCACCAATGCTCAGATGAGAAACTCTCTGCGTCATGCCAGTTCGAAGTCACGTGTGCATGAATGAATATCCAAGCCATTGGATGAAAGCACTTTCACATAAAAAAAAAAAAGGGTAGTAAGTGCAAGAACCAACCAAAAAAATCAACTGAGGGGCAAGGGCAGGAACATGTGACACACCCAACGCAAGGTAGAGAGCAACCCATCTGAGTGCTCAATTCTCCACATGCACAGGGGTCCGTTCTCCGTACGTCGCTAACTCAGTTAGCCGGATTTGATTGTTGTCGATTTGGCATTATCCTGGATAGTTCGGTTCTCCGAAGCTCATCCTGTACTTGTTGTCATAGCAACAGGTGCGTAAGCTTGAACCTGCTCCGGAGCAGGCTTATTCCATGTAAACACGATTAGATGGCTGCTTTTTAGGCGGATGTGACGTGGGTAGTCATTCACAGCCATGTCCTGTACGTTTAATACGAGAAGAACAATTCGCAGAGCTTTTAGAAATAATTCTGTATTGCGAAATAGACAAGACCCTTCAACAATTAATAAATAATAATAATTCCGTATTGGGAGATAGACATGACCCTTTAATACAGAGAAAAACTCTACTCATTGAGATATCGGTTTACCCGTGAGGGTTTCAAATACATAATTAATATGTTGGATCCACACATTAGATGTTCAACTCGTTGTAGTCAGGCTTTAACAACGGCACACACCGTTTGCATAACATTATTTGCGGGTGGCTCGTTCTTTTAAACTATTGGAGATGAGGAAAACTCATATTTTTACATTCCTACACAGTTTTGACTTTCACAAGTCAAAGCAATTTATCATTACTCAATGTTCAACAACTGAAATTACTGTATTAGTCATTTGGATTATTGGTCTACTTAAATGCAGCAACAAATAACTTTACAGTTTGGTAAATTAATTTACTTATCTGTATTTTGTACTGTCCTGTGGTGGCTCTAACATTCAGAAAATATGTCTGCTACTTTTTGCCAGCCCTCTCCTGGTTTGTGCAGACTTTGCGGTGTTCCCTTGCGTTTTAATTAAACATTCAAGTTCTGCATAACCTTCCATCAATATCTCTTGTTCTGCTGAGGAGGAAAAGTGGGCGGGATCTTTGGCCATGTTAATTGCCAATAGGAGTGTCGCAGATCAAGGTTTCTACTATCGATATATGTCGCCTTTTAAAACGTACGCGTGGACATAAACAAACCTGTATAAACAAAAGATCTCCTGCATTGGCCGGGAATCGAACCCGGGCCTCCCGCGTGGCAGGCGAGAATTCTACCACTGAACCACCAATGCTCAGACGAGAAACTCTCTGCGTCTTGCCAACTTGAAGTTGAGTTAATTCTAGAAGGGCCAAAGTATTGTGTTATTCTACCATATGTCACGGACGTGGTGTTTACAAGCCTGGATGGAACATGTATGTATGAATGAATATCCAAGCCATTGCCTGTGAAATCGCTCTCCAAATTTTTTACATCAGATATCAACCTGATTCTCAAAATGTAACCTCCCCGTCGGGGAATTGAACACAATAAAAAAATTTACATTAAAATCG